GGGATTGACCGAGTGGTTGTTGTGGTTGACCGTACTGCTGCGATGGATTGAATTGCTGTTGAGGTTGGCTGAACAGTTGTTGCTTGTGCTCTTGTGGCTGAGTATATTGCTGTTGTGGTTGAACATTCTCCCCTCCAATGTCTCTAGCAGAATAGGGAAGGGCTCCGATATCTTCTACCGGAGTTGTCTGTTGCGATTCAGCAACAGGAGCTTGATGCATGTCAACATATCCCTTCTCTTGAGGTGGCTGTGGATACAAGCGATTCCACTCTTCTTCATTATCTCTATCCTTGACGATAAGATACATGGCATGTACAACTCCGGGCCAGTGGAATAACAAAGTTAATAAGATGTTGATTAAAACGTCGCCCGTACATCCTCTTTGAATTGCCACGGCAACTGGTGGGAAGATAACAGCGATACAGATAAGAGCGAGATCATTGCCAGTAAGCTGCATTTTAGCTCGTGATGTTAGTGTCTTCGGTGCAGAAGGAGAATCATTATCGGAATTATTTAGGAGATATGCCCATTTATTTATTTATAATCAAAATTACATGACTTATTCTCATCATCGTAAATACGTACAAACTGTGTAATACAAAATCTCATATTTGAAAAAAAAACTCGTAAATTTATCTTCTTGATTACATGCCCCAGATGCAAACGTTTTGTGGGTGTTGGCTCAGCCAGGTAAGGCTTGAATGAATTGGCACGCACTCCAATTCCTGAATTCACGTGATGGGCTTATGAGACAAGATCGTCTGAAATGGTTGGAATATTTGTGGGGAGTGGGATGACTTTAAGCCCAACGACGATCCGAGTCATCCACGTAAAACGTGATGCTCTCCCCAAACTAATATCTCCAATGCTCATGAAAAGGTTGCCTTTTCTATACCCCCCCTGGAAGTTTCTATTTCCAGCTGGGCTGAGTTGGATATGACGTTGTAGTTCTGACTTTTTTATTTATTTTGCACCCAGTTTTCAACCAACTGCTCTACCCAAGGTTTAGTCCGGTCAGCCGCACTCTGAGGCTCTAATAATAAAAACTCACGGTAGTAGGAAACACCGATATAAGCGTTGAGCCATAACACACTGGGCAATATGTTTCAATAGGTTACAAATATTTAGATTTGCAAGAATATATAAAGGATTATTAGGTCTCCTTTTCCTTCAAAGATCAGAATTTTAATTCTAAAAGATTACGATACGTAAATTATTAATTAATTAATATATGGCTATATAGAAAAAAACAATATAAAAAAACGGAATACCCTTATTATCCACTTTGACTATTCACCGCTAATTCCATAATCAATCTAGTAGCCAAATGTAAAAAGGGATATGCCGAAAATGATCCAACTTCATCTAAATCTTGTTTTAAATTCTCATCATTAGTATTATTATTTTTATTACCAGTTGAACTTTCCCATCCATCAAATTTAAAATCAACCAAATAATTATTTGGTTCCAATTGAAATAATTGAATTTGCATTCTCATTAAATTAGGTCTAGTACAAGTACCATCCTCTCCCATTTCTTCATCATCATCATCCGAGCCGGATTTATATTTCCATCTGACTCTAATTGTCCATAATTCTTCTTCTGTAGGCTTAGCCCATTCCGCTCCCAAATTCTTCAAGGCACGATATATTTCACCCATGACATCTAATGGATATGATCTTGATCTGATCCCAAAATGCCATCTTGTTCTCAGTTTTTTAGTAGGAGTAGGGTTGATTTGATTTAATTGGGAGTTAGCACCTCCATTATTGGCGGCATCTTCCATCATGAATGCACGATGGATTGATGGTAATGAAGATGGTAAGATTGCGATTGTTGATGTAGGCAAGGTGGATAAATCGCCGTGCCACCGATTACAAACTATACAATTACTAACAACATGGGGACCACGACTTGTAGTTGACCCCGGAGCGAAAGAAGAAGTTGCAGGTGGTGGTGATGAAGATAAGAAAGAATCAATTCTTTCTGCCTTTGATTGTTTTAAATCACGGACTAATGTTCGATTTTCTTTCATTAATAAATATGCATCCAAGATTTCATTTGATTGTTGTTGTGGGGAGGATAATTTATTACAACGTTCAATTACATTGATGATTTCATCTCGATCATATCCCATTGTCATTGATAATGCACGAATTACATCTTCATCAATTTCGATCTTGTTGTGTTTTGTTTTGGATAAATCAGGAGGTAATAAATAATCAGGCATATCTTTTTTAAACCATTCATCTTCCATTAATTCATGAATCGTTATTCTATTCAAGGGGTTAACCACCAACATTCTGGTTAATAAATGTTTCGAACCGGGTGATAAATAATTAGGTAAGGTATAAACCCCATTACTAATTTTTTTAAATAATGTTGGAATAAATTCATCATCAAATGGTAATCTACCACATAACATCACATATAAAATAACTCCAGCTGACCAAACATCAACTTCTGGTCCCGCATATAATTTCCCACTAATAACTTCAGGTGCAGCATAATTTGGAGATCCACAACTTGTTTTTAAGAAATTTCCATCGGTCATAATATTCGAAAGTCCAAAATCAGCAATTTTGACATTTAATTGATCATCCAATAATAAATTCTCGGGTTTTAAATCACGATGAACGATTTTATGTCTATGACAATATTCAACAGCAGCAATAATTTGTTGGAAAAATCTTCTAGCTTCATCTTCAGCCATTTTACCTCGTTGAACAATATAATCAAATAATTCTTTCCCAGCAAATTCAATCACCATAATAATTTCATCCTTGGATTTAATAACATCATATAATTTAATAATATGGGGATGTCTTAATAATCTTAAATATGAAATTTCTCGTTCAACTCGTCCTTGCATATCTGATTTTGCCAATGTCTTTCGATTAATAATCTTAAGGGCAACTCTTTGTCCTGTGACTAAATGTTGGGCCAATTTGACTTTTCCAAATGAACCTTCTCCTAATGTCTTGATGATTTGATATTTACCTATCCTATTGGCAGGATTAGCACCGGGGTCTATTACCATTTGTTGCTGTGCTTGTTGCTGTTGTTGGGAATGTCTGTCATCATCTGATGCCGACACTACCACCACTACCACCACCGCAACAACAACAAGTGGTGGAACCTGATCTGGTTGTTGATCGGACATTTGATTATCGTGTGTTGTATTGTATTGATTGAAAATTGAACTGGGGGGGTGTTAAATGGGCGTTTGTTCAAAATTCTTAAACAAAGAGAGTGAGAATGAAAGAAACAACTGGAGAGAGAAAGAAAAAAAATGGAGTGAGTAATTGTTTTTTTTGATTTTAGTACACTACCAATTCTACACACACATACTTCCATTCACACTGTGGTGAGTATGGAATTGGAGTAACTTATAATATATTAATCTTTCTCGTTTATAGATATTACTTTCTCAAGCATTGTTCCGTAGAGTTATTTTATTCTTCTTCTATCATCTTTATATCGATCTTGTTGTGATGAAGGATCATCTCTTTCTCGATAGGTCTTCTTATCATGATTATTATCTCTTCCCTTATTAGAATATCTAGTTTCATCTCTATCTCGTTTATCTTGAGTTCTATAACTTTCTCTTGATTGTTGTTTATCTGTAGATTTTGAAACATTATAATTACCTACACGACTTCTATTATAATTTGTCTTTTTGGGTGGAGTAACAACAACCTCCTCCTCCTCTTCTTCTCCTTTCTTTTCCTTCTCCACTCTCTCTTGTTTATGTTGTTGTTTTGGTAAAAGCAGTTTCGGTATTCCTCTTGGTGAATCTTGTGCTTCAATTAATAAATTCCATAATTCTTCACAAAATCGTATTGAATCATCTTCACCCAAGAAATCAACAAGTTGTAATTGAATTGATTTTATATCAGGATATGAATCATTTGTTGTTGTGGATTCATCTTGTGATAATAATAATAATTCATATATATAATCAATAATAATATCATCATTGGGAATTATTAAATTGATTTTAGTTTCTATCCAACGTTTAATAATTAATAAATCAACTTTTGAAATATCAACTTTTATTTTAAAACATTTTGGTAATTTATTATTATTTGATTTTCTTGGTTTTTGTTGTTGTTGATCTTGATCAACTTGTCTAAGTCTAAATGACATTTCTTTATAATTCGTAACCTATTTCCTTCTCCTGTAAGTGTTTACTTCAGCAATAAAATAAATTTGAATTGATGATCGGATTTATACCGTGTGCGCTATATGCAGTCCAACGGAATTCTACCCCAAATCAAAAAAAAATAAATACCTAATTAAATAGAAAACGGAATTATGACTAGAATTGATTGATAAAGTTGTCAGCAAGTTTAAGATGAAGTGAAAGAATTTTCCCCTCATTGTCCTTCCCGCTTCCCTCTTCCCACCAACATATATGAGAATAATTATTTTGTAACATCATTTTTAATGTTTCATTTGCAATTTAAACAACCTTTGCAGTACAATGTGTAATTCTTTTTTACAGGTTTGTTGGCTGCAAAAAAAAAAAGAATATAAACAACAAACAACAATAGACACACACACATATCCACCTCCATTATTCTATAGATACGAGATCAATAACATATTAAACAACTACTAATAGTAATGTATAGATAGTAATATATTGGTAATAATAATAATTGATGTCATCCACTACCAAAAGAGAGATATAATATCATTTTTTATCCCTTAACTTCTACTTTTATCTTTCTCAATTTATCTCCACATTCGTAAATTGTTCTTTTTTTGACAGCCACCACAACAACAACAAACAATCATAATATAAATATCATCACTTTTTCTTTTACTCTTTTTAATCCTTCTTTTTAATTATATGTATTGATTTGATCAACTACTTAACAGAAAAGATGAATACTTCAACGATGTTTGATGGGTTTGATCCAATTCCAACTTATGATTCTTATTATAACACATCTCCTAGATCTTCTTCTTTTGCTATTACTGCTACTAATTCTATAGCTACTACTACTAATAATTATTATCCACTTGATATGGTTATTGATGATGCTTCTGAAAGTTCAGGAAGTATATCAAGTATTCTTACTAATAAATATTGTACACCAAGATCATTATCAAGAGTTCAATCAATTGAACTGGAAATTGATGATATTCCATTAAATTTTAAACCAAATATTTGGTCTCCAAATTATAAAACTGGTTATTCAACTTGGTTAATAAATGAAACTGAAATTCTTGCTAGATTAGATAATTTCAATTTTAATAATTATCATCATTATAATAATATGAATAATAATAATAATGGTATTCCTTCTGATCCTTCAAGTCCATTGACCTCGAACTCAATGACAACAACAACAAGTATTCCTGGTATGAATGATGTTTCAGCCTTAGTTCATACTAATTTTAATAAACTTATACAAGCTGGTTCACAACAACAACCGGTACCACCACCACCAGCACCACCACCAAATTGTCTTACTTTTAGATCTTATAAAAGTACAATATTTACCGTTCCTAAAAACTCAAAATTCTTTGTTATAAAATCCTACAATATTCTTGATGTTAATGCATCTTTCACTCATAATATCTGGACATCAACAGAATTAGGTAATAAAAGATTAGATAAAGCTTATAAAGAATTACAAATCTCTGGTAATCCCGATTATGATGGGAAAATATTTTTATTCTTTCTGGTTAATTCCCTGGGTAAATTCTGTGGAATAGCAGAAATGAAAAGTAGTTTAGATTATGAAAAAACTAGTGATATTTGGGTAGAACAAACTAGATGGAAAGGTATTTTCCCAGTTGAATGGTTATTAATTAAAGATGTACCAAATCGTTTCTTTCAACATTTAAAAATTCCTTCAAATGAAAATAAACCAGTAACTAATAGTAGAGATACTCAAGAAATTCCATTTGATATTGGGATTTCAATGCTTAAAATAATTAGCTCTTTTAGAACAAATGAATAAGTCTTCTATTTCCTTTCCTTTATTATGTTTTGGTGTTGATGATAGTAGTTTATATTTATAGTAATTTATAGAATTAATTAAATGAGTTAAAACAAATCGTAATGCTTTTTTCAATCAGATTAACTTTACTGATTGTTCATACATATCAGAAAGAGAAATATATTATGATAAAATTGCCATTCCTCCAATTTCTTTAACCACGTTATAACTTAATTATAATGGCTAGAAGAATTAATCNTAACCACGTTATAACTTAATTATAATGGCTAGAAGAATTAATCTGTATATTGAGTCTGTATGAGTGGTCTAGATCTGTTTTTTTGCTTTTCTGTTTGTATCTGTACCAAAATGGCTAGTAAATTTTGCAACCTTTTAGACGCCAAGATTGCGAAAAAATGAGAAAACCTTCTTTTATTTCTTTCTTCTTTATTGTTCACAAACAAATCCACCAATTCAATAATTTATAGTCAATCAACAAATTTCCTTAATCTCATCAATCAAACAAAGGGAGATTCGTATCATTCATCTTTCAAAGAAGTATTCTTGGTGTGAAGTTGTTAAAAGGAAAATGAAAATCTATTTGAGACAATTATTCACAGAAATTCGACCACAGAAACAAAATTGAAAACTACTTATCAACGACTATCAACTTCCATTCCAATATTACGATTAGTCATTTATCATCAATCAACATGTTAACTAGTATAAGCTAATTATATACTTTCCTTCCTATCAAGCCAAACAAAATTGGAAGAGAAACTGAAATAAGCACAATCATGACTCAAGAATAGCCAAAACCAAAACACAATCATCATATTCCTTCATAAGCAAATATTCCTTATTATTATATTCCAATCAAACCATCCAATCATGTTTTCAATCAACAACAACACATTTCATCAATCATAAATCAACAATAAGTTTCCACCATAATTATATCATTCCACGAAAAAGAATTGGCGACTCATATACAATTTTGGAAAAAGGTTTAGCTGGATTTCATGAATCAAGGTTTTAATTCCTTTCATTTTCTGACAATAACCACCTGACCAGTGGTTAAAGTCGGAGTGATTGGGTTTTTTAACTGAATTTAATGGATGAAGGCTTTACTCTGATCCAAGATTGGAATTAGTCCGAATTTGATAAAATGATGATGATAGAATTTTAATAAGATTTGAATCCAAGTTGTGAAGAATTTAATAATGGGAATTCCAATAATAAAGATGATACCAATTTTGGAGAAAAGTTTAGCTGAATTCCTTGGATCGGTAGAATCCTTTCATAATTAATTAGCCACTTGACCAACGGTTAGTGATTTGTGATGGGTTTTTTATCTGATTTCAATGGATGAATGGTTTTATTTAATCCAGAATGAGGTGGGGGATACAGAATTTGATATTCATTTCAATGGTGGTGACAGGAAGAATTTGCCGAGAGTTTAAATGTGGAGAGAATTTAGTGGGATTGGATGGATATATTCAGGAAGGAACTTTTGGAGACGGCAACGAAAGTGGTAGATCAATTGGGGTGAACTTGACGGGATTTCAATGTCGATGGTGGATCATTTGGGAACAATTTGATGGGATTTTCATGTTGTCCGTAGATGATTTGGAAGCAGTTTGTTGAAATGACTATTCTAGTGGTGGATCAATTGGAATGGATTTAAGGGGATTTCAATATTGGTGATGAATCATTTTGAAAGAGTTTGATGGGATTTGAATGTTGTTGGTGGATCATTTGTGAAAAGGTTAACGGGGATTTCAATGAAAATGAGAAATCAGCAAAGATTCAATTTGGAGAAAGCTTGGTTGGATGCCTTGGAGCAATGCAATCCTTCGATATGAATTAGCCACCTGAGCAATAGCAGGTTTGTGTGATAGGTTTGGTATCTGATTTCAAGGGTTCTAAGGTTAATCTGGGATATTTATTCAAAAGGTGACGTTCATTTCAATGGGAGTAATAGAATTTGGAGAATATGATTCGGGTTTCTATGGTGTTGAATGTGGAGATTGGGAATATGATGTGTATTCAATGGCAATGATGGTAGAATTCGAGGTTGGATTACAATTTTAGTGATAGAGAATTTGAGACGAATTTCACAAGGAGTTCAATTGATGATGAAGATCTAGACAGTTTGGAGTGAGGTGGACAATATTGGGATGAGTTTTGATGGGAAGTTCATTGGAGACGCTTTGGGGAGAACAATCTAACAATCAACAATCACCTAATAAAATTGGATGCTATTATTTGAAATATTCAGTGTACCTTTCTAACGAGAGTTTATTCAAGAAGACGTTTGCAACTGGATTTCATGCATCCGAAAGACAACATCATTGGTAACTTCCCAACATACAGGCTAGGGCAAATAGCAATAATAGCCATCGTGGCCAACAGGAACATGGCCACTTCGTGTGGCTTCTCAAGGGGGGCATTAGTAGGTATTATTGAAAGGTCGAGAGCCGTGGAGTTCAAGGAAGACGAAGAAAAAGAGAGGATAGACAATTTGGTGGCGGGGAGCTCGAAGTTTGTTATCTTTGTGTAGTAATTGGCAACTATTAAGTTGCCATTCATTGTAGAAGAAGAGGGAGAAGGTTGTGTTGTAGTTGTTCGCATCCGTATGGGGCGTGGTTGCCTTGGGAGTAAATTGGATGCATAATGAGATCTAAACGATCAATTCCGATTGTTCTGGCCAAAAAAAGAAGAAAAAAATGAAACCACTTTTCTTCATTTGCATTTTCTATTATTTCTTAACAGTGTAAACCAAACCACACTTCATCAATGATATCCCAGGCATCTAAAACTACAGTCATAAGAAGAAGGGCTCTATGCTCTATTCGTCAATTCTCAAACACGCTAAAATCATCACAAGAAAGCACATCATCATCACCATCATCTGAAAAAGACCAACAAGCCAAGAAATACTATGGAGTTCTACAGTGTATACCACGTAATAGTCTTCGTGTCTTTCGAAAGGAGCTGGCTCACATCAGAGTAGATCAAGCTGGTGAATTAGGTGCCAATTACATTTATATGGGTCAATACATTGTTCTTGCTAATAAATACCCTCATTTAAAACCCGTTTTACAACATATGTGGGATCAAGAAATACATCATCATAACACATTCAATGACCTTCAAACCCGGAAACGTGTTAGACCATCTATATTAACTCCATTGTGGAAAGTAGGTGCCGTAGGGATGGGAATGGGTACGGCATTGATTAGTAAAGAAGCAGCAATGGCATGTACAGTAGCTGTGGAAACTGTTATTGGAGGTCATTATAATCAACAATTAAGAGTATTGATGAATCAATATAATGATGTGGCCATATATGATAAACAAACAGGTGAAGAGATTGTTGATAAATCAAAGATTGTAAGTGACGCAAGTACTTCTCCTGAGTTAAGTAGTTTGAAGAAACAAATTAGTCAATTTAGAGATGATGAATTAGAGCATTTGGATACTGCCATTGAGCATGATGCTAAGAAAGCAGTTCCTTATATTTTATTGACTGAAGGGATTAAATTGATTTGTAGAGGTGCTATTTGGACTGCTGAAAGAGTTTAGAATATGATAGATTGTGTATTGTTGTATATATATTTCCCACCTATATGAATCTTATGTTATTATTTTGACCACATGGTCCAACCAACCAACTAGATGGTTGTCTTCCTCCCAGGGAGACAGACAAATAGATTGAGAGTCACTTCCGTTAAGGAGTAATTGCAATTATACTGCTAAAAGGAAAAGCCGCGCTGAGAGATTGGTGCTACCAATCGAACCTTAAATCGCGCTTGTTTTGATTTTACCAAAGCACCCAAATAATAAATATTCTTTAATCACTCATCATTAAAATCTATATACACATGTACATCCAAAGAAATGTCACATCTTGCCAGAACTCCTCAACGAAGACAACAACGACCAACAGCGGTCCAATCATCCACAAGAGCCACTTCCAAAGATCCATTCCCATTATTATCAGTATTTCTTAATTGACGTACAAATCAACTTACACTAAAGGTTCATTGACTTCTTGTTTTATTAAGACCAACTTCAGCATTCGTATTTGCCCTCTATGAACAATTCTTAGATGTGTTTATGTTGATAACTGCCGGCACTGTTGAATCCAAAGCTCGTGAATTGGCAACTAGATCTAGACAAAAACATGCTTTGGAAAATGGTCATGCAATGGGGGAACAAGAACAACAACAAGTGGAAGATCAGGAACAACCGATGGGAAATACAGGATATAGACTTCGGGTCCTACATCGCTATTGCTTTAATTTCTTCCTGACTGTTGGGTTTTATGATTTTGGTTTTTATGATTTATATAAACCTGATCCAATTAGGACGCAAAGAATACTTAGTGCGGTGATTAATTTTGCAAGATATAGAGAACATTTGTTTATTAAACATGAAGCAATATGTGAGAGAGTGGAGAAGAAGATTGCAGAAGTTAAATCTTGTCGTGAAAGGAAGACACAACTTGAAAATAAACTCAACCAGATTAAAAAACGATTAGATACTAGTGATCCAAATAATGTTAGTTTGAAAAATATAAATGCATTTATTGCTAGAATGGAAGAAGATATTAGGAGATTAAAAGTTAAGGAAGGTGAATATTTTGCTGATCGTGAGACTTATAAGAGTGAAAAAGCTCGATTAGTGAAAGTTCTTCAAGCTAATGAAGAACGTCAAATTAGGCAAGCTGAAGAGTTGGAAGAATTGAATTCATTTGTAGGTGATAATTTGCATAGATTAAATGATTCAATCGAAACCTTTAGAGGTGATTTAGAAAGAAAAGAAGCAAGATATAATGAATTGAAACAACAATATAATAACCTTACTAAAACATTTGAATCTGTTAAAAACTTAGAAGAAAAAGTTAGACGTTCACTCAAATTAGCTGAAGACGTAGCTAAACTAGATAAACAAGAAGAAGATGAAATTAATCGAGCACGTACTCTTGAAGCAAATCTATCTGAATTACATCGTCAAACTGAAAATATTTCCCGATTGTTAGAGAATGTATATAAACAAATTGCTGAAGAGGATGAAAATTTTAAAGAATTGGAAAAATCGTCAAATATACAGATAAAGAAACTGGCTGATAAAGTCAATGAGGTTCATAAGAAGTGTTCCGAGAAACAACAACAAGTGAAGCAAATGGAAGATGAAATTAAGAAGATGCAAGATGCAATTGGAACTATGGAAAATGAAATTCAATCTGCAGTGGCTGATTTTGAAGTTGAAAAACAAAACATAATGGCAGAATCACAAAGAGTTGGGAATCGATTATTAACATTTATGCAATCTGCAAGTGTCAAATTAAAAGATGCTCAAGATAACATTGCCAATTGATTTAACCACGAAGGAAATTTCAATTATTTTTAATTCTTTCTATGTACTTATAACTTTTCCTTTTAATCCTATGTAATAGTATAATATACAGCTTATTCCCCAGTCTTCGTAGCAGCACCAATAACCGTCAGCTCATTCGAATTACTCTGAGATTCCAGCCGTTTTCCCAGCTCCCCATCATTCTCATCTTCTTTCGTCTTAATATTCTTAGTCTTAGGTATCCTCTTATTAGTAGTAAACAACGACGCTACACAGCAAACACTAGCCAATCCCAATCCCAAATAAAACACATTCTTAAACGCCTTCATGAATTGATCCAATACCATATCCTGAATCTCAATTGGTAAATTATTGATTAATCTCGGATTTGAAATCAAGGCCTTGGAAGTCATACCCGTCAACGCCAAATATCCCGGTGAATCAGGTGGTAATGACCGAATTAAATCATTAATATAAGTGGTTCCGGTAGTTTGGAATAATAATTCGGATAAATCGACTGAAACGGTTGCTCCAACATTTCTTAAAAAATTTACAAAGACTGTTACTAAGATCAAAGCCCCAGGGATTGATTTAGGTGAGACTAATTGAGCTGCCAATAATGTACTTTGAAACAGAAGACCAATTGGGATACCTGAAACTATTAATACTCCGATACGTAATCCGAGGGAGGAATTGGTGGATAATAATAGCATTAATCCTGTTCCGATGGGTGAAAGTATTCCCGATAAAAGCATGGTGATTTTGATATTGCTGGTGGTGGTAATGAATATCGTATTTGAAATGGAGGAGATAGTGACGGAAATAATCATGGGAAGTAAATATATTCCTGATTGAAAACTTGATGCATTGAATATAACTTGGAAATAAAGGGCGAGATAAGTTAAATTTGAAATAAAATATGCAGAATTAAACATTCCACTTATACAAGCAGCTAAAACTTGAGGAGTAATTAAGAATTCTTTTAAGATAATTGGATGGTTTGAAAACCGGAAATTCCAAATCATAAACAATACCAACCCGATCCCACCAACAATAAGCATCACTATAATTGGAGCTGAATTCCAGGGGAAATCAATCCCACCAAACGTTAAAGCAAGCAATACCAATATCAATCCAGTTGCCAACAAGAGCGTCCCAATAAAATCAACTTTCGCTAACTTTTCCCTAACATTTCCCTTTGGTTTAGGTGGATTGAAACCCCATAACATAATCGCCAATGCCACCCCACCAATCGGTAAATTGATATAAAAACACCACCTCCAAGAAATCTTCTCCAATGCTCCGCCACTAACCGGCCCTAGAACACTCGCTGTCGAATATACCACACCGGTGGAGGCAAACATTAATGATCTCTTCGAGATCGGGACACATTCAGTGAAAATCACCATCACCATAGCTTGAATTGCTCCACCTCCAATCCCTTGGATCGTTCTCCCTCCAATCAACATCCCCATTGAAGTAGATAATGCTGAGATCAAAGATCCGATTTCAAAGATGATTATCCCCGCTATCATAGTATTCTTCCTCCCAAATGCAATAGATAGTTTCCCATATGAAGGTGAAAGACACGCCATAGGGAGTGAGAATCCGGAAGTAAGCCAGGCTATCTTGGCAAATGAATCGAATTTCTCCCCGACGATGGTTAAGATTGTTGAAACGATAGTTTGATCAAGAGCGACTAGGAATAGTGCGATTACGCAGGATGCTATTGTTAGCATTAAGGGAAGTCCATGTAGGTATTGTTCATGAGCTTTCGTTCCATCTCCGGCATCGGCTTCTATATATTGTGAGTATTGAGAAGTTTGTGGGACGAGGATGGTAGCTTCGAAGTCTTCTTGTGGTTGTTGTTTTTGTGATACTGGTTGTAGGTCATCATTCAGGGGTCGGTTTGTCATAGGTTATCAGGGGTTGTTTGTGTGTGTGAGGTTGTGTGGTTGTGTTGAAGTGCAACGATAGTTGCTAAAAATCAGGAGATTTGCTGAATTTGCCATTGATGTAATGTAAGATATGTGAATATATAATAAAGTAATAAACACATAAATCAGGGAGAGATCTTGTGTATGTGCTGTATTCTCGTATTTAAATCAAATGACGTCAAAATAGAAGCTTGACTCGAAAGGAATAGAAATAGAGACGATATACGAAGCGAGTCTCGCATTTGTTCCATGAGAGAAATAATAATTACGTCAAATAATATTAAAGCAATATATTTTTATGATGTAATCTGGTTACTCAGCCACAATGGAATCAACCGTAACCAGATTACATCAGTTTAAGCAATTGTATTCCGTAATTGATTTAATTTAATTAATTTGTTCTCGAACCCCAATTAGACAGTCAAGTGATCAACACTCCGTATGTTCAAGAGTATGAAGCTATTCACTATTTATCAAAAATTATTAATTTAAATTCTCTTTGCGGGTACATTGAGATATTTGGCACCTAGACGATGTAGTTATACTAGTCAACCTCCTCGCAATAAGCGATGTCTAGATAGGACTTATATTAGCGATGCTTCTGAGACATTTTGAGACATTCCAGCCGCACCCGATTCCGGCTTATTGAAAAGTTCTCCGAGATACAAAACTCACACGACCCCATTCCATCTGTCTTTATAGTCTTCCAATGATATAAACTCAAACTATCCTATTACTTTTGTAGTACGACTATCTAAGTATCATATATATACAAACAATGTGAACGTCAATCATAAATATTCATGTCCTTCATAGCATAATGTCCAGCAGCATCCTTGCCTCTTCTTCGCCATTTTTTGCAACCATTCTAATTCTTCTAATTCTACAATAAATCAGCATCTTTAATAATCTGATTAAAAAACTCATAATTCTCAGCCAATCCCCCCAATTTGGGACTCGACAAATATATCCCCCCAAACCACTTCTCCTTCCCCCCACTATTTCTAGCACTCGCACTCTGATAATACAATCTCCTAGCCAAGCCAAGCACATTATGTAAACATTTCTCCCCACTCAATTCCGGGTTTCTTTCAAGATAGATAAATTTCAATTGTTTATAATTCTCAATATCCCAGCCTGAAATATCATATAAATCATTTGTATTCGCCAATATGGAACATAATGATTGTGGTAATGATAGCGATTGGATTGAATTGGAAAGATTGTTACATTCGAGGTTTATATTTTTAGATGTTTGAATTGGGAGAATGAATTTAACCAAGAAGAAGATTTCAAATATTTTTAATAATTTCTATGTACGTATAACTTTTCCTTTTAATCCTATGTAATAGTATAATATACAGCTTATTCCCCAGTCTTCGTAGCAGCACCAATAACCGTCAGCTCATTCGAATTACTCTGAGATTCCAGCCGTTTTCCCAGCTCCCCATCATTCTCATCTTCTTTCGTCTTAATATTCTTAGTCTTAGGTATCCTCTTATTAGTAGTAAACAACGACGCNTTGGGTGGGAGTTGGGATAGATTGAATTGATGGATGTTTCCCCCAGTTAGATTTATGTTTTTTAGATTGGTGATTGAGGTGAGGTTGAGATTGTTGATTATGGATTGGGTGAAATTGGTACATCGGATTGAAAGTGTCTCTAATTGCGGTGGTAGGTGGAATTTAATTCCGTCATTATTTTCCAAGAGAACTATTCCTGAGAGGATTAATTTTGTGAGTGTGGTTGGAAGCTTGAGGAAAAAGTTATGATTGGTTAGGATTATTTTACTGCCTTTAGCTTGATGGATTTCAAATGATTGTAAACCTTTGGGGAATAAAATTGTATTGGGGTCGAATTTGGCATTCAGGTTTACCCAAAGATTAATATGTTTAACATTAATCAATTGGAATGTTTCATTGGAGATATAAAATTCCTTAGTTGAGATTTCACAATCCAATTGAATGATTTCCTGGTTTAATATTACACATTTGGATAATTTATTCCCATGAAGATTTAAAGTCCCGATATTCCATGGTAATGCTTCAATGAAATCATCAGTAGATGTGAAATTATTATACAGTAAATCAATCATTTGTACATTCTTCAACAGCGTCAAATTGGTATTTTGAATCGTGGTTAAGAAATTCTTCGACAAGTCTAAATGATATAATCTTGATGGAAATCTAATATTGTCTATTGATGTTATATAACAATCTNCTAAATGATATAATCTTGATGGAAATCTAATATTGTCTATTGATGTTATATAACAATCTTTTAATATCAATTTGTATAATGATGTCGGTAATTCTAAATTTGATACCAAATCCATAAACCCAGCAATATTTTTAATTGACAATTCAATTAGGCTTGGTGGTATTCTTAACTTCGAAGCAATAAGAACAATAAATGGTAAGTTTTCAAGTCGTAAACACTTTAATCCCAAAGGTAATTTGAAATTAGATCCAATTTTCAAATAATTCCTATGATATAATTCAGGAAATCGTTCACTATACCTTCTCAAAATATCTTCAACATTCCCACATTGATACTTATACCAAATAGTATGTAATCCATTAGGGAATCGTGTATTATTAAAGAAATTATGAAATATTGGACAATCAACCACCTTCAATATCCCAAGATTAACCAAAAACTCCAATCCTTCCAAATCTTCAAGTCTTAAATTTGAAAGATATAACTCTTCAATCAGGATAGGTAATTTGATTTGATTGAATTGAATAATCTTATTTGATCTAACACTTCCATGATATTCAAATCTTTTCAAAGTTGACAAATATCTTAAATCAATCAGGGTAAAACAATTGGGATGTTCATATATCACAAGTTCTTTTAATCGTTCAGGAAACATAATTCTTGCATTTTCAGTCGTATTCGATGATATTCTCATTCCATATAATTCCAAAACTTCCAATTCTGGGGGGAAGAAATGACATTGACCAATATCCATATTATGCACTTTTAGAATTGATAAATTTGAAGGACATAAACTTATAGACCGTTTCCCATCCTGACACCAAAGTTCAATCAGTCGTATATTATCAGGCATATAAACCCCACTGCCCCAATCATAATATTGATTCAAACTTATTGAAGTAATTCTATATCCCAATTTCAAAGCATTAATTATATTCAATTGTAAATTATTAATATCTTTCAGATATGAATTTGTTCTAATTTCAATACTTTTACAATTCGTTAATACGGTAGATAAATAGCAATTCAATTCTAATAAATCACAAACATCATCAAATATAATCTTTTGGGGGGGATATCCTGATTTATACCAATTCATAAAACTATATAATCCACTAAAAGTAATTCTCTTGCTCTTAAAGTCATAGGAATAAGGAGATACACATTGATACTTTTGAGTATATTGTTGATGAGTTGTTATATAAACTTGTGGCAATATAATTGATAATATCTTTGGGATTGAAGTTAATGCTAGTAAATATTCAATTGGAAGTAAATTGAGTATTTGTTCAAGTATTTCAAATGGTAATTGAATTATAAAATCAACATTTGTCATGTTGTCACCTAATCCTTTACTCTATTGTTTCGAGGAAAAGAGAGGTAGAGGGGGGGAGGAATTGAAGGCTATTTATATAATTTATTGTACAGATCAATTTCATCCCTTTCATATCTTTTACTTTACTCCGCAATTTCCACAAAAAGGGTATGATTTACGAGTCACCTGATTAGATAAGATATACGTCACGTGATAAGATTTCCTTCCCCAATTTTAATTAAAACTCTATTTAATCCTGTCTAAATTATATACTCCTATACACATAAAATGTATACTCATTAAATAATATATAAAATCATTACCTACCAAAGTCATTTCTATAAAAAACCCATACACACAAATACACATACAACTATCAAACAGGTGGACCTTTTTTAAGAAATTCCAAAAATGCCAATTCACCTTCATCATCATCATCATCATCATTATCAACGTCATCGTGATTATTTCTACTATCTTCTCCTTCTCCCATATCATCACCAAATGGAGAAAACTTCCCCGAGATTGGAGTTGAAGTATATCCATAACTAGATGCTTTCTTTGGAAGTGTAATAGCTGTACTTAACAATACTGGTTGTTTTTTCGTTAATGGATCTGTCATATCTATAGATTTCGATTTCGATTTCGATAATTTTTTATTATTCACGGACGTTGTTGTAGTTGTAGCAGTTGTAGTAGTAGATGATGCTCTCATATTATTCTGATTATTATTGAATTGAAAATTCCCTAATGTAGAATTAGTATGTAAGAAATCATAATCATTATCTCCACCAAGTAATACTGCTGAAAAATCATGAGGATTTAAATCATGATCAGGATTATCATTTTCTTCAACTAAATGTTTCTCATTTATGGTATTTATAGGTACCGATAATTTATATTTTTGTTGAGATGGAGGTTTTTGTCTTAATGCTTGATTATAAACATATATTTGTGCTTGTTTTTGCATTTCTTTTCGTTTAATTTCTGCTAATTTTGAATCAATATATTTCATTTGAAATTTCTTAATATTTTCTTCCGTAGGTAATTTATATAATGGGAATTTATATTTATTCAAATAATGTCTCCAAAATTTATAAGAGTTCATATCAATTAATCCTGATGTTGCACTTAATGAATTCTTGGCAATTCTTGCATTGGTTGCCATTGTATGTATTGATTCAGCCCCATCGGTTTGTGATGCCGTCCTATTTTGTGTTGTTGTTCCATCATCATCATCATCATCTCCTGCACCTGTTCCTCCTCTATGATGGAAACTATGACCAGATCCATGTCTTGGATTATTAATATGAAGTATAATATTATCCACTCGTTGTCGATGTTCTTTTTCAAAATTCCTCATGACGGTATATTTCCAAGGTCGTTCACGAAAGAAAAATACTAATGTATCAATAAACCCATTCAAAGGTTGCATAAATGCCCCTAATAAATTAATCCAATATATAGGTCCATATCTTTCTTCATGATTAACTTGAGTAACTTGTAATATAAATGGAAATAACCAAATAAAACAATATGCAAATGGATAAACAAATATTGATTTCATTTGTTTTTGAATTATTCGTTGTCTTTTTCTGAAATTTTCTAAATTTGCTTGATGAAGACTTGGATTTTCATATGGAACTGAATCAGTACGATTATTATTATTATCGGTATTGGTATTATTTTCTGTATTTGAGGAATTAGCAGTTGCATTACTTGTATTTCTGACTGTACCGGTGTTGTTGTTGTTGTTGTCATTGGTGGTACTACTACGTTCTGGTAGGATAATTGCTCTTGGTGGAGCTTCGATTATTACCGAAGAATCATCATCGTCCAATTCTTCATCATCTTCTTCTTCATCATCATCTTCATGTTTCAGATGTCTATTCAGTAATGGAATATTTTCACGAACAATTGTTCCATCAGTAGTACTGGTGGTATTACTGTTGGTAGCACTAGTACTAGTTGTTGTATTTTGTGATTCAGGAATAACAAAACTAGGAAATACATAATCCTTTATAGTTGTTAAAAAGAATTTTAATGAATTATATAAACTTGGTTTTTCATTAGTTAAATTTGAACCATAATGTAACTTACTAAAAACCCCACCTAAAGTTTTAAATTCTTTAAGAACATGATAATAAATGAATCCATAAATGACAAAAATAGCAATAACAATACAATATCTTGGAACCCAACTTAAAACCATTCTATACCATAAAGGTCTTAAAGGTAAATAACACCAAACAACTAATGAAGCATATCCAGTACCATTAACAAATGCAAGACTTGCCAATATTAATGGTAAAAATATAGATAATGTATAAACATAAATTCTATATCGATAAAGTCCCCCTTCAATTCTTGTTGAATTTTTAACCTTAGTATTTAAAGCAGGTTTAAAGATTAATAAATAAGTATGAACAGCAAATGCCAAAATTGCAATATCAGCCCCTTCAATAGCAGTAGCGGTGAAAAACCCAACTGCTTGACAAAATCGTTCATTATAATATGACATATTATGAGTTAAAACTCTTGTTGGATACAATAATAAAATAATTGCTTTAATTAAATCAAAAAATAATAAAAAGAAAATTAAATGATGACGAAATACTAATCGTTTTGGATCAATGGCAAATAAGAAATACATGGCAGTTAAACATGCTGAAATGGATGCACATGATGATGATGTTGCTAATACTCGTTGAACAAATACTTGATGCAGAGTAAATTTCTCTATTTGATTCTGAGCAGCTTGACTTCGTTTGATGATTATTGAATGAATAGATTTAATGAAGTCATGGAAATGATGAGTATATTGTTTATTCGTTTGTTGTTGTTGTGGTGGTGGTGGTAGTGGTGGTGGTATGTTGGTGGTTGATGATGGTGTATCTATATATGTGTCTATTAAAATGTCATTTGTTGTTGCTGTTGTTGATGTTGTTGTCACTGGTTGATCTTGTTGATTATATTGTTCAAAGAATCCTGATGTTAATATTAATGATAATATTAGTAGTGATAGTATTATCAATACTTTCAATGACGTTCGCCATTTGCTGTTGTTGTTGTTGTTATGACTATTTGGTTGTTGTTGTTGTTGCTTTACCATGTGATTATTATCGTGATGATGATGATTATTATGTCGTAAGATTGTCAGTTTCATATTATCTATGTATATATGTCTGGATGTAATGTGTCTGTCTGTCTGTTATGTGTTTGTCTGTCTGTTTGTTATATGTCTGATATAAGTTAGTGTGTGTGTGTGTAAGTAAACTTAAGTAGTAGTAGTAGTAGTACTGTTATTATTATTATTATTATTACAAGTAGAATATTTGATTAAAAGAATTAAAATTAAAATAAATAAAAAAAAGTTATATTAATTAATTAAAATGACTGATTGATTGATGATTTATTCTTTTTTTAAAAAAGAAAGAAAGAAAGAAAAGAGAAATTGTTGTTTTTTTTGTCGTAACTGAATTGTTCAAAAAACAGACTCAAAAAAAAAAACTTTTTTTTATTTTATTTTAATTAAAAAATTAAATTATTTTTTACCTTTTAAACATAGAATTTTTTCTATTTAAATTGTATTACTGGATAACTGTTCTGTTCTGGATGGATGTTCTATTTGATTCTATTTATTTTATTTATTAGGTAACTTTACTTGTAATTATATAATATACAGTTTAGTTAATATGTAATAATAATCAATATGTTTTTTTATAATTGAAAATGTATTAAAGGATGATTCAATACAATATATAGTATATATATATATAGATAGCCTTCTGGAGACATATGTCTATGTGAATTGATCACTCATTAGTCTTCAATATTAGTTTCCCCCAGTGCATCAAGTAGGGACACTTGATTTACGTGGTTTGTGTCACGTGAAGTGTAATTATTATTTGGTGTTTGGTGGTGGGAAGCGTCTTCAAATATACTTGCGTATGTTTTGGGGATGTTCGAGATGTTCGAATTTCAAGTATATGTATGTTATTATGTTTATATACTATATATACTGTATATATATTTATTCTTTATGTAAACTATTTAAAATAGATTCAATTCATATTCAATCACTCTTATGTAATAATTACTTCCTGTTACAGTAAAACTCTTCTTTTACTCCCTCTCTCTCTATATATATGTACATTATAACAATATACATTTTAATATTGACTTCATCAAATATAAAGTAGATATTTATACTCTAACTTTTATTTATTTATAATATTGTATGATTCAACCCCTCCTCCCATTCTATTTATAATTCTTATAATTATTATATTTATGACCCATATATATTCTTTTATCAACAATTATTCTACTTTTTCATTATAATTATATAACAATTAAATTTAATTAATAACTCATTTTTCTCTGGTAATTAATTCTTAATTAACAATTAACACTTAACAAAAATGTATATTCCATAATGGGATTTATATGATGAAGAAAAGTTTCAGGGAGTGATGATAACTTGCAAAAACGGGACAAAGACTTTCATCCATTGAATTTCTTTCTTCTAATTGATAATTTATCTCAGTTACATTTTACTATTAATCCTTCTTGAAAGTCTTCTGGATTCTATTTAAATTATTATCAATATGATTATAAATATAATTATACAAGTCATTTTGGGAGGATGTTTTATCACTAGTGAGAAGTGACAAGAGACAACCAAATCGTTTTAAATTTATATGAAAAGAAGAATACAAAAATACACTAAAGTTAGTTAAACTAAAGAAACGAAAAGCATAATTAAAGTAATTACTGTAGATTAATTAATTAAGTCAATTTAAAAGTCATATAAAAGGATATTTATTATAATATTTTTGGCATATAAATTTATATATTATTGTTACTTACTAAAACAAAATTAAATCAAGTTTACATATTTCATAGATATAAGGTATAATTAATAATTGATAATAATAAAAAAAAAACCACACAAAACTGGTGTCCTTCAAGTTATTATTGTTCTAAAAAAACATAGCAAATGGAATCATCATACCCAAGAGAGCAATCAAGCTGGATGAATAGATTCTTCCACTACCACTAAGTAATTCTGGATCAACACCACCTGGATAAGCACCTACTTCTCCTTCAACTCCACCTTCAACATCACCTGGATAAGCACCTGCTTCTCCTTCATCTCCACCTTCAACATCACCTGGATAAGCACCTGCTTCTCCTTCATCTCCACCTTCAACATCACCTGGATAAGCACCTGCTTCTCCTTCATCTTCTCCAATGTTTGCACCAGCAGCAGCAGTTTGTTGAACAACAAAAACAGTTTCAACAGTAGTTGTAGTAAATGTAGTAGTAACTTCTTCTAAAGCTTCTTCACAAATATTGTCTTTACATTGAGTAATTGTTTGGGTCACAACAGTAACAAATTCGTGTTCAACAACTGGACAATAAGTTTCAATAATAGTTCTAACAACAGTAGTGAAAACTTCACAGATGGTTTCATCGTCACATTGAGTAATAGTCAAGGTTTGGTCTTGAGTAATAGTTGTAACCACAGAACTTCCTTCACTTGATGAAACAGTACCAGCAGGATCAGCAGGATCAACATCTTCATCACCATCTTCAGCAGGATCAACAACAGTAGGATCAACAGGATCAACAGGATCAACAGGGTCAACAGGATCAACAGGGTCAACAGGGTCAACAGGGTCAACAGGATCAACAGGGTCAATAGGATCAATAGGATCAATAGGATCAATAGGATCAATAGGATCAGTAGGATCAACAGGATCAGTAGGATCAACAGGTCCATCCTCAATCACAATGTTACTAGCAATAACTTCCAATGGAACACATTGTCCAACAGCATTAGCATAAATAGCAGGTTCATCTCCAGTTTCACAAGTGGAAAATACAACAACATCACGACGAACTAATTCAGAAGCAACAGGTGGATCAAAATGAATTTCATTATCTTGAATGGACCATCCTGGGGTAGCATTTTCAATAGCTGATACAGTTAATAACCCAGTTTCGTCATCTCTGTGAATATATAAACCTTCACCAATAGTAAGAAGACCTAAACCATCACCTTCATCTTCAATAATAAAGGAAGCTTCCTCTTCACCACCAAGTACAATATGTGTACCATTGAAACCAAAGGTAATTTCCTCATCACCAACAACAGCAACAATTTCAAATGGTTCTTCAGCAATAACAACTTCTGGTTCTACAATTTCTGGGTCAGTTTCTGGATCTTGAATTTCTGGATCTTCAACTTCACCTGATTCTGTACTTGGTTCTTCTGTTGGAGTGTCAGGAATATCGTCGTCACCATCTCCGATGTCACTTGGAGTTGCATTGTCAGAATCATTGTCGTCATCAGTTCCAGTGCCAGTTGTAGTTTCATCGTCAGAATCATTCTCGTCATCAGTTCCAGTGCCAGTTGTATTCGTATCGTCAGGATCAGTGTTGTCATCAATTCCAGTATCAGTTGTATTCGTATCGTCAGGATCAGTGTTGTCATCAATTCCAGTATCAGTTGTAGTCGTATCGTCAGGATCAGTGTTGTCATCAATTCCAGTATCAGTTGTAGACTCATCGATTTTAAAACCTTCAAGTGCGAAACAATTGTCCCCTTCGGCAACATTGACAGTAAATGCTTCTGCATCTCCACAATAGAATAAATCAACTGCGAATGAAAGTGTTCCTTCCTCTTCATCGTAGGACCATGTATAATCACCTGAATCTGTTAGCTCTTCAATACCACTTAATACGTCTCCATCTTCAGCAACACCAACATAATAATCTCCTGTAGTCAAGTAAGCAGCACCATCATAGTTGAATTCTGTTGCTAATGTACCATCGGAAACCAAGCTTACCTCACCATCAACAACTGAAAGATAATAAATTATGACACTTTCTGCATCTCCAGCGGTAATTTCGACAGTCAAAAATCCAGATTGGGTTACAACCACTGGGTCTGTTGTTGAGCCTGAGCCTGGTTCTGGTTCTGGTTTCTCTCCAATTTCGAATTGTTCAATTTGTGTACAAGTTTCAGTACCAGAAGTAGCTAAACCAGTGTCTGGACAGTAGAACAACGTAGCATCAGTTAATACAAGAGCTTCAGTCTCATCAGATAATAATGCCCAAACAAACAAGTCACCAGTGTCAATCTCATTGGATTCGGTTCCACTTAATGTTGTTCCACCAGCAGCAATTCCAAAAACTAAATCTCCAGCACTCAATAATCCAGTAAGGGAAGTATAATCAAATTCAGTTGCATCTTCACCATTTGTAGTCAATGAAGTTACACCTTCTTCATCAGCAGCGAGGTAATAAGTTGTAATGTCTTCTCCAGATCCGATATCAAAGCTCAAAACAACCGAATTACGAAGTTGGGGTAATGGTTCATACTCTTCAACCAGAAATTGTGATACCGTGCGACTACATCCTTCCGCAATAGTCAAAGCAGAACTAACGATACATAATTCAAGTTCAAACTCAAGAGTACCAGTTTCATCATCAAAAGCATATGTCCAGATAAACAGATCATCACTTCCAATCTCTTCTACTGCTTGTAACTGACCTTCTGAAACACCAACAGCAAGCCCGTCCTTATAAATCAATAAATGTCTGTGCACATCATGGGTGAATATGGTTGCTTCCGCTAAATCGCCAACTAATTGGAAGGTTTCTCCATTGAACGATACATACAAATATGACGTTTGTGTCTCATAGTATTTCAATGTAAAGTATTGTGGTGCTGGTACATACTCTTCAACCGAGAAAGGTTGTGGAAGCTCTTCACATTCCTCACTCCTGTAGTTCATAAATCTACTCAACCTATTATAATCTGGACAGGAGTATAAACCAGCTTCAAACGCAAGAGTACCATCAACATAATATGTCCAGATAAAACCAGCAGATATTTGGTCGTCATCGTCTATTATCACCAAGTCGTCATCATTTATAAAACCAACTGCAAGATTGTATCCTTCAATCAATAAATGTCCTTGCTCGTCATGGGTGAATATGGTTGCTTCATTTACCTCGTCAACTAAATAAAGTCTGCCATCAGCAATATCAATCGAGATATAATCTTCGTCCGTGCTTTTCAAGGTAAAGTATTTTGGTTCTGGTATGTGTTCAAATGCTTCAACCGAAAATTCTGCTATAGAAGTATCATCACACAGTGAATCAAACGTCAAATCCGTACCCTCGATACATAAATCAACTTCAAACTTAATAGTTCCATCAACATAATATGTCCAGATAAAATCACCATCAGATAGTTTGTCCTCGTCGGTTGCCACCAACTCATTTTCTGCTGAAACACCAATGGCAAGATTGTCACCTTGAATCAATAAATGCCCATGCAGGTCAAGGATAAATGTGGTTGCCTCACTTGCCACGCTAACTAATTTGAATGCGCCACCAGCAATATCAATCGAGACATAATAATAGTTGCTCCCACCGTCAGGTGTGTATTTCAATGTAAAGTATTCTGGTTCTGGTATGTGTTCAACCTCTTCAACTGAAAATTCTGCTATTTTATTATTACACAGTAAATCAAACTTCAAATCCGTACCATCGATACATAAATCAACTTCAAACCTAAGAGTACCATCAACATAATATGTCCAGATAAAATCACCATCAGATAATTCGTCCTCGTCGATTGCCACCAACCCATTTTCTGTTGAAACACCAACAACAAGATTGTCACCTTGAATCACTAAATGTCCTTCGTCGTCAAGACTGAATATGGTTGCGGTCTCTCCAAATTGGAAAGCACCTTCATCAAACAGGACATATTCCAAGCCATATTTCAATGTAAAGTATTCTGGTTCTGGTACATACTCTACAACCGAAAATCCAGCATTAATCGAACTACAGCCTAATTCAATTAGACTCACAGTATAAACTCCTTCATTTGCACAGTAGTATAAAGTACTAGCAAACACAAGAGAACTACCACCATACGTCCAGATAAAATAACCGGGAGATACCGCATTTGCGTGCTCAATTGTATCCAACACAATCTGAGTACCAGTTGAAACACCAACAGCTAACCCTTCTTCATTCAATAAATGTCCGTGTGCGTCATGAGTGAATACGGTTGGTTCACCTGTGTCGCCTTTTTTAACTAAATTGAAAACATTGTCGGATACCGAGACAAAATAATCAGTACCACTAATTTCGACACTCAACAAAATAGAACCGGTTGCTGTTTCAATCACGTTATTTGAATTTACAACTGTGAATACTATAGCATCTCCACAAGTGTAACTGCCCTCTTCGGTGACATCCGCTGAACTTAAAATCGCATCAGCTTCACTTGTCTTATAACAGTAGTATAAATCTTCGCCAAATTCGATGGTGGGTGGAGGTCCAGCCGTAAATATCCATTCGAATGTACCAGTGTCAGTTCCGTATTGTGTTCCACTTAAAGTTGTATCTGAACCTACGAGACCATAGTCATAACCATTAAAACTCAAAATCGACTTGGTAATATCAATAGTAAAATCAGTAGCATCTTCTTTTACTTCAGTAAATTTAACTGCACCTTCGTCAGCAATAAGATAAAGAGTGTCCTCACCCGATTCAAAACTCAATATAATAGCACTTGCAAATGACACAAGGGCCAAAACGTTTGCCAATATCGCTAACCTCATTTCTTTTCAGTAGTAATATCAATAATTCAATGAAAGTATTGGTTAATAGTAATGAAAAAAGAAAGAAAGGAAAAACCAAAAAAAATGTAAAGTAGAATTAAAATGGAAGGGGAATGTTGGTAGATTTATATCTGAAAGAATCTTGTCAATTTTTGTTCAAAGACTGGAAACTCCTTGTTTATGAAAGATTTGAACGTGGTTGTATGGTTTTTTGGAATTTACTTGGTGGGGCCAAGTAAAAAAAAATAGGATTATTGAAATAATAAAAGAATTGCGAAATTTTTTGAATTGGGTGGTGGTGGTGGTTGCAAAATTCTTAGCGTGCATATTCTTGCATTTGACACAAAACTAAATTTTATTTTTTAAGGTCGCGGTTATTTTTATTTTTTTATTTTTTATTTTTCTTTCACTTTAAAATATTGTAATATATAAATTTATATATATAATTGATAAAGTTACTAAAACAGACTAATTACTATTAAATTATCATCACTTTTATGGTTGTTGTTTAGTTTTCTGTTGCTTCTTTGGGTCATTGAATGATATACATTTTGTTGGGTATCATGTTTAATAAATCTTCATTAACATAAGTTACCTATTGAAAGGAGATAAATAAGAAAAAGAACCAAAAAAAATACGTAAAAATATTTCATCTGTTCTTTTGAACATACACCAAGAAAAATGATGAATTTATTGAAAGATCTCATGTGGATGTTTTCTTGGTTGGTACCATTATCGAATATCTTGGAAATACGTGGGGGTTGGGGTATGTGTTGTGGTATTTGATGTTTTTTGTATCTATCTTTTAAGATCTTTGATATTCATTTCTGATTGACATACAATAATTATTGAACTGTATTTTTCAATTATGATTAGATTAGGTGTCAAAATGATACCGGATGTTGTTTTGGTATAAGCCAAACTTAGTTCAATCCAAGAAAGAACCATTGGAATGTTTTTTTGGTGTTACATTGAAGTTATTTGAATTTTCAATAAATTTTTATCAATTTTTCTTGTTAACTTTTTCTTCAATGAAAAATCATTTTGATAGTTTTTGTCAAAAATATCATCTAATTGGGCAAATGTATCATCAAATAATCAATAAATGGCTGGTTTGTAGGGGGTGAGAGTTCCTTCTATGGCTTGGTTATCAAGAAAATTAGTACACGGTCAAGCATTTTTAACTCGCGATGGTCTTGTTTTACATCAGTAGATGTAAATTAACAGAATACCTCCCCCCCCCCTTTCCTCTTTTGAGCCAGCCATACTTTCTAAATTGGGGGTGATGGTCTGAGTTTTTTAGAAAGTACTTGTAATGTAATTTTCTTGAACTTTTCTAATATTGGAAACATTGATTAATATTTATAAGATTAATAATCAATTGGATAATAATCAGAAACTCCACGAAAATTTTAATCTTTCAAGATATACTTTTTAAACATAACCCATCCCATCCCAATCCAATCCCATACCAAAGAGAGAAAAACAACTAAGAAAAAAATAATAAAGATGAAAAAAAACGCGAACCTCCAAATTTTTCATACCAAGAACAACAACATCCCCCAAACAGAAGATGAAGATGGAAGTACAAGAATCAAATGAATAAAATTGTTCTATTTTTTTATGTACGTGTATGTACTAAAAAGGAGAGTGAAGAGTGTAAGAGAGAGATCTTTACAAATATAGAGATATTCTAGGCATTTAGATAATAGAACTGAAATATTCATTTCATTTATTTCTTGTAAGTAAAGGATCAACAGTTGGGAGCTTGTTTGAAAATGATTATTCCTCAAATCAATTTGAATAATCTGACCATGTGTTTCTATTTTTTAATTTTTACAATCTCTATCTATTTATCTATTTATCTAGTTAATTATTTAATTTAATTTGCAGCCAAATTTAAAAGTATAATTAATTACAATAATTAAACAATGGACAAATGTGGAGGAATCTCCAGATCTATCTTTTTTTTGTCATACATGATCTTGAATTATGTCAAAATTAACCTTAAAAAAGTTATAAATAAATGAAAAGATTTCCTTGTCAATTAATTAATTAATAGTAATATTATATTGCTATAAGATATTCACCCAATTGAATTTATAACAAAAAAAGATTTCGTGTTTTTTACATAATTATTTCTTGGATTTGTAATAAGAATAATTTATAAAATGAAAAATTACGTGACAGAAATTGCAATTCACTACTTTCAGTAAAATGTCTTAGTAAGATCTTATTTAAAATTATTCTTGTCTAATATATTTGATCACCACCATATGTGTACATAAACATATGATCATACCAATTTGCATATTGTAATTAAAACACGGTCATATAAAACCATGTTCTTGTCATCTGTAGATACCTCTATACAGATATTTACATATATTTACATATTCTTGGCAGTAACTCATGATGGTTATTCTTACTTTTCAATAAATCAATACTCAATAGGAATTCTAGGGGGAAGATATACAGATAGATAGATAGACAGATTACTGTTTAATACCATTGGGTGATGTTGTATTATGATTATGATTATTATTATATTAATTATTAAGTAAAGTAGAATTAGATACAAAAAAAACAATTAACTATTAAAACAAGGATTAACAGAAACCAAACATATGTTAAATGGGGAGGATGTAACCAAACTGGGAAAAACGTGTAATGTATAGCAAAAAAATGCAAGTTGTTATTATTATTAAATATTAAAGGACTTACTCTCACAACAAGGTAGATGTCTCGAAAGTATAACCAATCACTCTCTCACTCATTCACTCACTTTGTAATTCTTTTATAGAAATATTTCTCAAGACTTGATTCCATTAAAATCAGATTTTTTTCTTGGGGGGAATTCATCATCATCATCTATTCTTAGCAAAACTATTAGCTTTTGTAAATGAAGGAGGATTTATATAATTTGATGTAGATTGAGTTTCCATTTCATCTAATGATGTAGTTGAAGATGCAGCAACACTAGAAGGTAAATGTTCTTCTTCAAATACTGATGGAGTATTTGAAGTTGATGAAATATCACTTTCACCTTCTTCTTCATTATTACTATTATTTCTTATACTAATTGGATGAGCAAGATTTGCCATTTCAAAAGTTTCATTAGGAATTTGTGATTCATTAACAACTCCTCTTGTTGTTGACAGAATTGATGGAGTGGCAATTATTTGTTGAATTTGAATATTTTGAGGATGAATTCTAGTATATAATCTACTTTCATCATCATTCAAATAAACATAATTAGATGATAATGGATCTATTTGATTAACATTAATAAATTCAAGTTCTGAATATGACCAACGACAAAATTTTGTTGAATCACATATTGGTAAATATTTATATTTAACAAATTCAAATACAATAAATGATAACATTGCTCCACCAATTAAATCAACAAAATAATGATGAGTTAAATACATAGTACTCCACCAAAGCCAACATCCATAAATAAACCAAATTGATTTAAATCGAGGAAATAAATAACATAAAAAGAATACATCCATAATTGCACATCCAGAATGTAATGATGGAAATGCTCCAAATATAACTGGGGAATTGGAAAATCCAGTAGTATAAAGATCAATTCCTAATAATTCATCAATTCTACCTAATCCACCCGGAGATCCATGCATGGAATAATTAGCTGGTTCTAATCCATATAAATTCTTATACCAAGGAGCAGCAGCCGGGAAAAAGATTTGAATCATGACTCCAACTAAATTCATATATCCAAATGCAAATCCAAATGATCTTAAAGCAGTGGGGGGGCCAAATATGAAAATAATAGCAGCAATTATAAATGGGAAACTAAAATGAACAATTCCATAAGGTAACCAAGCTATTATATCTAATGGAGTTGTGGTAATTGTGGCTAAAACATTTGATAAATCATCACCATATAAGATTGTTTCCATTGCTGGTAATACTTTAACTGAAATAGCTGGTTTCCAATTAACTGGAATTTTAGAACAACTAAAATATAAAGCTAACCAAGCAAATACTGGTAATGCATAAAGGAAGAATTGATTAGTTAATGGAATTAATAAACAAAGGATAAATATAAATGCAATTGGTAATTTAATTAAAAATGTAGTTGGATAAATTAAAAATACAAATCCTAATATTGATGATAAAAATCCATAATGTAATATTTCACCTTTTGACCATTTATGATGTTTAAGTTTTCTTAATGTGGTATTAATATTTGTATCAATTATTAAATCAGATAATGTTGAATTTGGTGATTTATCCAGAAGAAAATAATATTGAAGTAATTGAGATGGACTTTGCATAATACTAGATCTTAATATACGAGCCATTTATTATTAACTTTTTTTATTTGGTAGTAACTTTTTTTATTGTTGGTAGTAATGAATATGGAATATAGATTGTTGTAATTTATATACGATGGCTGTACTTTACAACGAATTCTTCCTTTGGATTAGAAATAAAAATAAAACAAAAAACTTTAAAAAGAAACTCTAGGGGGGATGGATGTGTATAATGAAAATGAACCTTATGTTTATCTCTCTCACACTGCGTCTGTCTATAAATGATGTTTTGTTGTGTTAGTGTGTGGTGGTAGTATGTAGTTTATTAAAATGTGTATTAGAAATAATTACCCACTTTAATATAAAAAAAAATTCTTAAAGTCTTTACGGATTTTTTAGTAAAAAAAATTGTTGTTAATGAAGATGATACGTGACTAAGTTTCCCTGATGGTTAAAACGTTTTTAAGTGGAAGGTTAATTCCTCTGTTTGATGATGTTAGTAGTTGACTAGTAGAAGTTGACTAATACTATTCAGAAGTAGTAATGAAATGTAATAAACTATTTATTTATAAATTTAAATTTGAAATGAATTTAAAAAAATTCAATAGAAATTTTTAAAAGAACGGGAATAATCGGTAAGTCACTTTCTTTTTTTTTTTTTAGTGTTTTTCTGTTTAACAAAATTAAATTTACTCTAACTAATTAAAAATTAAAAACTACGCAAAGTTAATAATACCCGACACAACAGTCTAACTACAATATATAATATAATATTTAATTAAATATAAATCCGTTCGTTTTTAAAATAATAATAATAATTAAATAGGAGTAATGAAAAGAAAGAAAGCAATGATGATGTACAATGTAAATTCAAAAAAAAAAAGAAATTTTGTCACACGACATTCGCTCATTTCCATTTTTATGATACGACATTTTCAAATAAAAAATGAACCCAATCCCATACACATTTGCCAATAGTGGTTTAAATTAGGGGAGTTGAAAGATTTATATATATATTATAATGGCGTTCATTTTATACACCAATCGACAAAAAGAACAAAACCAATAAATTCATAGTAATTAGTAAATATATAAATTTGTAAAAACGACTTTACGTCATTTTATTTTCCATTTATTCGGTAATTACTTTTGGTTTTTTCTTTTTAATGACTACAACTACGCCGCACGAACCGTTAACCATCGGTAACAATAGTTACAATATTTTCTCTTAACAATTTGAAAGTCTCATCATATATCCATCATCCTATCTATCCTAATTACATATCCTCAAAAGAATAAAAGATGACTTACTCTATTCCCTCAACCTATAAAGCATTAAGCTATTTAATGGATGTACCCAAATGTAGTACTTTTTAAGAAATTAACTGTGTTCAAATTTTCGAGTCTCCTCTTTTTTCGCAGCTACCAATCTTTCCAGCTTTCATTGTTTGGCCAAAAAAAAATACCACCAAATCTCGGAAAAAAATGATGTGTTATTTAAAGAAATGGTTGTTGTTTAAACACCTACTGAATAATTATTCAAATTATTCCTAGCATACAACTAATTGATATTGTTATACTTAATAATGATTACCTGAGTAATATTTGTTAGACACTACCTATCAAATTCTAAAGTGGTTGTGAATAAAACTGAGCCCTAACACTTAAAAAAGAGAAAACCTATTGCCCCAGAATTCGTAGTACTAACCCTTAGGTCAAAACTGCATGGCTTTTGGGTAATACAATCATGGTCCTCGTGACCACTAACAATATGGTCATTGCAGTCTAGGGGGATTAGTGGGTATTAACATTGATCGAGAGTCTGTTAACTCGTACTCGTGCGTAGATATTTTCTCCCTACTGTATAAGAAAAAAAAAGACTAAACACATTTTCTTTTACTTCTTCTGCTGATGTTTACATCTGGGTATATCGAGAGGACAGATCTCAATAGATACACAAACTTCTTATTTAATTTGATCATTTGGAAAAATTTCACTACAAAGAATAACAGAATAGACAATTCTTATTGAAGAGAGATTCATTCGTAGATCGATAATAACTAAAATAAATACATATATACATGTGTAAAGGTATAGAATATAATGGTTAGGATAAGGGAAAGTGAATGCTAATCATACATTATGCTATCTAGGCGTCTTCATACAAGAAATCTTAGTTTTGGTTTGGAGTGGGAACAGCACCCAAGGCAGCCAAAGCTTTAGTTAACTCAGTTACATTCTTATTATTATTGTTATTATCATCATGCAACTCATGTTCATCCCGTAATGGAACTATACATTCTTCAATTCGTTTCATAAATTCAGTATCAGATTGTTTGTGTTCATCAAACATTTCCATCTTTAAATCATTCAAAACTTGATTAAAATGTTTATCATGACAATTATCAACAATTTTATTCAATTTATCTGATTCTTCAACCAATTTTTGAATTTGTAATTTATTTGTCATTACAGAAACGATAGAATCAATAATCTTTTCTCGTTCTGATTCATTTAATTCTTGACCATATTTTTCATAATATTTATGATTAATTTGTTCAATTACTTGAGTAATTTCTTCATCATCTTCATTTAATAAATATGGAGTTCCAAGTAATCGATCTTCTTGATTTAATACTGTGAAACATTGAAGTTCATATGTTCTTCCTCCTGATTCTAATTCAATTATTCCTGTTTGTCTTTTACGAACTTGATCTGTATTTAATCGGTTTATGATTTCTTTGAGTCTTGCCATGATTTGTTTTGGTGTAGTTATAATGAGTTGACTCCCTACAGTCATACAACAAATATAAAAATTCCAAGCAATAAATCTGTAGATATATATATATTATATATAAGCAACTTAAGATTTTATGTAAATAAATGTAGGGTGTTCATACATTCTAAATTGAGGTATATTAATAATTAAATCTTATATTTATTTATAGATAGAATGAGAACGGTTGGTAAAAGCTAATTACTGCAAGGTGTCTTTGTAGAGTCTAGACTTTAAATTTTGCAAAGTAAAATTCTTTTGCATATTTTTTTTTTTTGCAACCAAAATTGACGACATATGTCGCTGTCGGTTTTAATTATAAACTTAAAATTAT